GAGACGACATTAACTTTTAGAAAAAAAAAACGTATTTTAAAAGGTAAAATAAAAATAATAACCAGGTCACAATGTTATGGTCACACATTTCGTGTAAAATTGTTAATCATATTTTTATTTTTTTTTGATCTGCGTAGTGCATGTAATAGTATCCTTGAAAACACAATACTATTCTTTTGTCGCGGACCGACATATAAAATCGTAGGGATTAAATTGAATGCTCTGAAATTAGACACATTAAAAATATAATATAACTTTTTTACTAAGTTAGCGGTTAAGTAGGACGGTGATCTCGTTACTCGAAAACAGATTACCTAGAAATTTTATGGATTAAAAAAAAAAAAAAAAAAAAAAAAAATGGGTACACACTTTCTTAGGGTGAAATCGGTTAACACACAATACTTTTTACATCGTGATTATCACCTGTAGACGTATTGTTGTAAATCAATAACAAAATAAACGTTTAAATTGGCAAAAATAACGGCAGTCTCGTCGGTCTACATTGAACATTTTAACAACGTCTTGGTCTATTATATCTGTGCGTACGTCTATACCGCGGAGTATTTAGCATATTAAAAATTATGTAAATGTGTACAAAGCTCGCACGTCTTGTAATCGTCGCTCGATGCGATTTCGGTATAAACGGATCACGGAAAAGAGTTTGCACATTATATTACGGACATAGACAACAACCACTTGAAGTATCGATTGGAGTTTGTATTGGGTTTCGTTGTTATTATTTTTTTTTTTCGCAATCCATGTGAGAATAACCGATACGTAACGACGCGCTAGTTTTTTTTTTTTTTAATAACAACAATAATAATAATAACAATAATAGAGCGTAAAACGTGTTTCCAATTATAGAGCAACACATCGTCGAATAATAATGATTGTCCTATATAACGTCTCTGCGGCGTAGTAACATGTCTCGGTACCGCGGTGCTTTTACGCGGACGCGTTTCGCAGCGACTCGGTGAGCGTTCGTGTTAGGTATAGGCCACACCGATCACATGGAATCGATAATGCGTCTGTCGTCGTCGAGGCGATCATCACACAATGCACTACTATCAGTGACGCGCTCAAGGGGGGGGGGGCTTTGGGGCTGTAGCCCCCCAAAAAATATGTTATACATTAAATTGTACATTATATCATATTGTCACAAGTATAATATTACAATGATAGGTATGAAAGGTACAATTTTTTTCAAGTTTAATTATTATGTTAGTTATACATTAATAGAAAACTAATGGAAATTGTTTATTTGTGTGTAAGGAAAGTAAGAAAATGTTTAAGCCCTCCCAAACAAAAATCCTGGGTGCGCGTCTGACTATTATAATATATGATCACGTTGTGAAAAAACAAACCCCGACGGAAGGGACTGCTTGCCTTTCATAACGATAACAATAAGTTAACAAACAGTAATGTAGTTCTAACACTTTGATGATCATATATAATATCCATCCGGAGGAAAAAAATATTTTTACTTGAGTTATGTGAATAGAAAAACACGTCGAACAAGTACTGGAGCGTCCGAGAAACATTTTTGTGGTTTTATGAAAAAAAATGTTTAAGGACCCTCGAAGAAATGTTCCCCGGGCCCCGCAAAACTTCCCACCAGTGCTATGTCAAACAGTTTGCTGCACGTAGTAAACCGCCGGTGGCAGGGAACGCGCGTAAAACCTTTGCCGGCCGTCCCGCGGAAGGAAATCTCCGTCAAACGATAATAACATATTGTATTTGTGCACTACAGTCACCGCGTTCTATTATTATTAATATTGCGAATAAAATCATGTTTTTAACGTTATAATTCACGTCCCCGCGCCCCGGAGTCACATGTTGCGTGTGCTCACGGGCATCGCTTGTACCTGGCGCATACTCTTATGTACTTAATTGTGGTGTTTTTCCAAAACTAACTTCAATTTTTTTATCATAAAGTCCTCACGCACTAATTTTCGGTAAATAGACATAGCATACAAAATACATATTTAGAGTATAATATAAGGTACTCAGGTATACCCACTTGTCGGTGGCGTAGATCAGGGGTCTTCAACATTTTATACAGCTGGCCACATATTATTTTTTTTAAACCTAACATTCGTAGTAAAAACATGTATTTTACATAAAATTTCAGTTTTATTCTTATAATTTTTAAAATTAGGTGGGTACATTTAAAATTACAAATTATTATTATTAAAACATAAATTGATAAACATTTTTTATTAATTACAAATTTTTTATTTTATTTTTAATGTGATAACATTTAAAATGTGATCGCGGGCCTCATATTATGACAGAGCGGGCCGCGGGTTGAAGACCCCTAGCGTAGATGACGGTGCGATGCGACGAACACTGTAGGATTTCTGGAACTTACCGCTAGAGCTGAAAAACAAATTGTTTGCCAGTGATTGCGTTTGCAATATGATATAATATATATAATACATTATATTCGTATTATAATGTACTGTTATGAAGACACACATATATATGTATAGTACACTCCATAGTTATATTACTACTGCAGCATATCATTATGATTATCTTCTTTTTAATACATTAATTAACAATAATATTTTAATATTATTAATATATAAACATTATTATACTTTTATACTTATAATCCGTTAGTATATTATATATCATATGTATTATATACATAATTTTGGGTAAAAGGTTCTTTTTAAATAAGTTGTTTTCATATTTTCAATTTAATCCAAACTTTTTTTACATTTGAATTTAATATAAACATTAATTTACCAATTGCATGATATATATGTATAAGTGCAGATACATAGACCCGGGGATTAATTCTATCGTAAGCCCTAGACCCTAGGCCTTAGCCTCAAGGCACAGGTGCTTTTAGTGCTAATATGGCCCTGCAGTGTCCAGTATTTAAATAATTAAAAAAATCTTCTTTTTAGCAGAGTTACTGTTAAATCTCAGTGTTAAACTTTAAAAAAAAAAAAAAATTACATTAGAAGATTCAAATCTAAACTTTTATTTTTCCATACGATTACAATTTTAACAAATAAAATGTTAAAAACAATTAATTTTATTATAAAATAAAATTGTTAAATACCATAAAAAAGAACTTTTTTTTATATCAGTATAGTTCTCGTATTTAAGTGTCGAACAAAAAATAATTGTGAAAAAAATACAAATAGATACCTAATAATGGTGTAGTATATAATGTAAATATAACTAGACGTTCTAATACGGCCCTGGTACACGACGGGTGAAAATTATGAGAATCTATTTCGATTAAATTGTACAAAACTCGTATTTGAAAAACTAATATCTGGACTCAAACACGTGAAACACAAGGTACAAGTTGTGTCGTTAGCCTGGAAGACATGTATTGACGGTCAACTGTTGATGATAGGTTGAAATCGATAAGTTTAATAATTCTTTAAGGACGTTATATGAACCACAGGATGTGACGACCAACGAAGAGGATAGCAACGTCGATTGTCGGATGGTGCAGCATCGTACTGCACACGATCGAGACGATGAGACCGAGGAAGACGAAAAAACGACGAACATAAGGAAGAGTGATGGAGAGGCAAGAACATATAAAAAAAAAAAAAAATGGTAAATAGACGTGTTTTTCTTTTGCCTCGCGTCTCCTTTCGTTCGGTTAATCCGCCGCCGACCGGCTAGTGATCCAGCGAATTACGACCGTGTAGCGCATTTAACGCGTGCGCGCGCACGTAATAAGCTAATTTCATTCCACACCATGTAGCGATTGAAAAATATTAGTTCGTTTTGTATTAGCTGTACGGTGTGAACCCGTCACGAATAACGCGCGCGCGCACCCACACACAGTCGCACAGGCGACTCGTTGTCGTCCTTACGTATTGTTCCGGCCGCGTACTGGTATTATTGCACGCGGCTTCGGTTCGGCCCCGGAGGCTTTTTGGCCGAGAGCGCTGTGTAATCTATGTGTACCCATATACTTACCAACCAATAATAATACGTGCACGCACTTATACTACTGCGGTGCACGCTAAACTCCTCTTGATACGGGTAACTGGTATTGTACCGACGGATTGGTTATCATGTCCTTGCTGCTGCTATTATTAATGTTATTTTTATTATTATTATAGTATAACGCGTGTGCATACATCGTATATTTATCGTTGGATGCGAAATCGATTTTTAACAACGACCACGCGTCGACGGGCATGCTGCTTTCAGTATTTAGGACCGTTTGTACTTGGAAAACGATTGTGATTATAATTATCATCAATACGTGAATTCGCGACAAGGGTATAAGTACACAAATCATCAATATATAACGCAAATGGTATGTGAACGAACAATTGTGTACCATCATTCGTGTCTTAGATTACAATACCAGTGCACAAATTTTTCTTATCTACGTGTGTGCATGTGTGTGTGTGAAAAAAGAATTATGAGACGCTCGGAAGGAAAAAGAAAATAGTGTTTGTAACACGGTTGGTTCTAAAACATCTTTTTTTTTCTTTCAAAGCAACTATACCATAATATTTTTTTTTTTTTTTTTAAATATAAATTATTGGATAAAAATTAACTTCTACAATAGTTATTAATACAGATTATTGCTATAAGGAACCAAAATTGTGTTTACATATAAATTATTAATATATTTAATAAAATATATTAAATATATTTAGGTACGCCTACTGATAAAATTTTTAAATCCATTATTGAAACGCATATAATAATTGGGAATATTTTTTAAGCATATCTAATTTTATCGAATAAATAGTTAAAGTATTAAGTAATTGGACGGTCATTATTTTAGGTTAAAAAAAAATAATAAAAATAATGATAATAATAATAATAAATAAAACATAAAAAAATATACACACAATTAAGTGTTACATATAAAAAAAGTAATTTCTAGCATATGGAACATAACAAACATCACAACCTTTAGCCTTAATGTTAATCAATCACATAAATAAATAAATAAATAAATATATATATATACAAACAAAACAAATAAAATTACTTATTATTTAAAAGTTAATAAGTCTAAAAAAGCCCTTATATTATAGTTAAATATTTAGTCTACTAATTTAATAAATTAGCTATAACTAACGACTAACGCAGGTATAATTGTATGTATTAGTGTTATAGCGATGAAGAACAGGGGTGGCAATATATAGTTGGCTTGAACATTATTACATTATATAGGTACCTATCTAACATAAAGCTTCGATTCGTATAAAATATTTTATTATGTATGAATGTATAAAAAAAAATTGTCGAGAAAAAAAATTTAAAGAATTTTATATTGTATTCATATCTATCCGTGTTTGTTGTAGAATGTGCTCGGGTTAGTGCCGCTGTCCAATGTTCAGTTACATCTGTCAGTCAAATGAAGAACAAAAAAAAATAAGAAAAAAATAAATAAATAAATAAATAAATAAATAAACGTTGGAATCTGAGTGCAAAAAAAACTTGTACATTACGTACACACAAAAGACAATAAATCTTATTTTTTCTTTTTTTATTTTCCCTTATTTTTTTCGTAAGACAAAATTTTGCAGTTTGAAATAGAATTGCATTTATAACGAAGTTTCGATGTTTGGGTTTCTCGGAATCCCAGACGGCAGCAATTTTTTTTAGATTTTTTTTGCACGCAGAATTATACGTTTTTAGTATTTTAATCATCAAAACTAGCATCATATGTATGTACGTAAGAGGATCCTTTTGTAACTAATCAAACTAATATTGAAATCGCATGAGGAGAATGGTCGTATTTATCTTACATACAAGGACAATAATTGTCGTAATGAAGTCAGGAACGCGGTGTCTGATGAAGGTTTTTATGTTGTAATCGTGTTTTCAAAGGACTAAAAAATATTGTATCACTGAGCATAGGTTACGAAATAAATGAAAAAACAATTAAACAGATTTGAATTATCGATTACACAACGTGCTACTGAAATATCAGACGAATTTCACAACAATCATAATATATAAACGTGTCAGCATTTTCTGATAGACGGGCTTTAGTTAATTTACCAAAAACAGAAAATTTTGACAAGATTATCGTAATATACGAGTACGTATAACTTGGGTGCGTAATGCGAGGTTAGGAATACGTTAAAGTGTTTTACTTACCGTTAGCAGCGTTGTATTGACACGTCGTTAGCCAAAATGATTTGAGTTATTCCCAATGGTATTTGGTTTCTTGTTTTGTTTTGAATCTGCAAACAAAAATCCATACCCCTACCGTGTACTGTATACGATCAAACTGCAAAAGACATTAAACAATAATGATCGGTATATTGTCTATTTACACCAAATAAACAAAACATCGAAAATATGTACAGTGTGTTGTTACTTTATCTGTTTTGTTTTAGTTTGCGAATCGCGGACAATTTTGACATGCATATAATCAAACGTCTAAAAGTGACCATCTACGTTTTTCAAAAATTAATTTATTGCACGATCAATCGAAAAAATCACGTAGGTGTATACGATAGAAAACATCAGTAAAAGTGAAGTTTATTTCAACTCTCTAATGATGTATAGATACTGAGCGAAGCGAGGTATCTCGTAGTATTACAAAAAACAAATCTTTACCTCATTATAATGAACATTTTATACATATATAGTTGGTACAAGACAGATTTTTTTTGGAAATTTTTATTAATCTTGAAAAAAAATGATAAAAACATGAAATTTAAGATAAATTTATTTTAACTTTTCTCGGAATTAAGAAAAATGTATGAGGCTATTGAAAATGGAATCAATTATTTCTTTTAGTATTTGATAGAAATTATTATATAATTAAATGTTAAAGTTTTTTGAGCTTTATGTAAAATAAATATTTTTTACAACTCTTTTGTAGATCTTATAACAATTAGTATACTTAAAGTTAAAACTATAGTTAGTTGATATTTTTTAAACATTTACATTAACGATTATAATTATCAGTGGTTTTATAAAACTGTACTTATTTCATTCACGTAGAGTTTTGTTTTTAAAATATGATCTGTCTAACATTAGCATACTCGTATTATTCCAATATTACTACTATATTTTTTAAATCGTTACATTTTTTAACCACACTGTCCATAAACGAAGCTCCGCTCAAAATCCTTTTATCAGTGTAGTGATATAAATAGATAATATTGATTTAAAATTTTAAAAATATTACTACATTGGCTTGCAAGCCAAGTCAAATGTATTATATACTTTGAACCAGTCTATTAAAAAGTTGTTAATTTGATTACCAATGCGTTATATGAACTACATACTACGTGATGCTTATCGATATTGTCTAAAAGCTAAAGTTTCTTTGAATTTATATGATTTGAAAATCCCATGTAAGTAAAAGCGACTTATTGTGTAAGCCTTAAATTGCGTTAGTAAGGTTAGTTATTCGAAGCAAAATAATTATAATTGTTAATAATTGGTATCTGTTTTAATTTTTTTGTTTTGTTTTTTTTTTTTTTTTTTTTTTTTTTTTTTTTTATAAAATGTTTACCTTTTGCGTGATTGGGAGCGATTCAAATGACTCGTCCAGTTCATGTGTAAAATATATGAAACAATTTTTGGGAAAATAGTTTTTTTTACACATCATTCACCCGCCACTTCCAAAAGAGGGGTAAAAAGCGAAAATAAAACATAATGCAGCGGTTGTTCGTTGGCTAAAAAAATTATATTAATTTGTTCCATTCCTCGGTAACTGTATCACAGTATAATTTGGCAAAGAATATAGGAAGCTCATATCACACAAATTAACCAAAAAAAAAAAAAAAAAAAAAAGAATTTGAAAAAAAATAATAATAATATTAATAATTATAATAAATAATAATAATCAAGCGAAATAAAAAGACTGTTCACCATTTTTTATCAGAATACTGTACAAGTCATTTTATTTACACAATAATATATTATCAAAAATAAATAATGAATAAAGTATAAATAAATAAATTAAAAAATAATAATAATAATCCGCAAAATTATTCGTGAATTTTGTTTCAATTTTACACATAAGTAAAATTCATATAGGAGTTGTGACTAGATGTAAGTGATCCAAAATAATAATAATAATAATAATAATAATAATAATAATAATAATAATCATAATAATAATAATAATTATAATAATAATAATAAATAAATAAATAAATAATTTTTGATAAAAAAAAAATTATATATAATATACAAATGGTATATTATGTACATAAAAAAATTACTTTGATTATAACACTTTTAGCCCAGAAAATTTTTTTTACTAAATTTAAAAAAAAATCTTTGGTAAAAATTTTGAATAAATTTCGATACTTTAAAAAATATAATACAATATATATATATAAATATATGTATATATTAAATTGAATTTGCATATATAATATAAGCCTAACAATAATAGGATCCAGACAAGCCTAGTTTACAGAAATAAGTCAAAGACGGGGCATACATACTGCTTTTGTTAACAATGTCTTTGTTCTCGCACCGTTGACCCTTGAAGCCTTCGGCGCACCTGAAAGTTAAAAATTGTCGTTTTACATCGGTTTTTTTTTGCAAGTACAGTTTGCAATCCTGTCGACGGAAGGATGACCGACAATTTGCGCGATAATAGAAGTTATTTAACGCGGTAAAACGTGTATCGCATAATATTAATATTACCGATGTACCTAATGCATCTGTAGCAATACGATACGGTGTGTTTTAGTAGGCATTTATATACTCACTGGCAAACGAGCTCTCCAATGGTTTCGTAGAACGTGCACGTGCCGCCGTTCAGACAATAGACGAGATCTGCTGGACAAGGACCGCCGACCAACGGCCACAGGGCTGTTGCTGCAAGACAAACGAAACGTGTTAGGAATCAGTACGTATCGAACACGATAGAAATACGGCGATCCGGTGCGCGTTACGTGTTACATTGAAAACGAGAAAAATCATCATACACATCGGCTGTACATTGTGTATCTAAGTATATTACATTCTACGTACATGGGTCGACGGGGTTTCGGTAAACATCTCTAAAAGCGTGCAATGTTGTTTTTGAAAACAACGTTTTGGCAAAACGCGTTTTTACCGTGACACACATTTCGTGTATTACAAGCTTGTCTGTGCGCGTTAAAACAAACTTTTATTTCATTTTAAAAAAATAGCGTACGCCGAATCGGGAAACGAGTATGTGTTCGAACCGACGAGCGGAAGGTGATATTTTCAGTGTTCAAGTACGGCCGAGTGTGTGTTCATCGAGAGTATACGTACACATACGTTTGATATTAGAGGCACACAAAAAATACCAATGTTCATATTTCATAAATATTAAATATTAAATAATACGCATTTTAATGTTGGCGAAAATTGAGTTATTTTTTTGCGTAGGTAATGCATTTGTTTTCCCGGTTTAAAATTCGTACGATGGTAACTGGTAATGTGTCACCTCGATACTTTTACCATCAGTGGCACGTTCATACGTACTCACGCACACACGGCGGGAGGGGGGAGCATAAGGTTGTTAATCCCACACAGCTTTAATTATACCTATTTCGTGTGTGGATGGATATATTATATTCCGTATCTACTCAAGTGTGAATAAATTATTAAAATGTTGTTGACAAGTACCTTTACACACCACCAACCCCACCAGAAAAAAACTTTTTCAACATTAAGAAGAGCCAAGTATATTTTTTAAATCAAGATTTAGATAGGTAATAGATGTACTCTCCATTGTTTTCAAATTAAATAGTGATAAAATTAATAAATAACTTATTTGTAGAGCCCGGATTTATATATTAAAAAGTGTCAAATATGATGCAAATATGCAAAGAAAAAGTGGCTAAATATGCAATTATATGCATTATGTTACACTTTATAAAATGTGATTTTTTTTTTAAAAACCACACTTATTTACCAAATAAAATTTTAAATATTTTATTAAAACCAAACAAAAAATTATAATATCCACTGCTTCATATTTCAAATAATTTAAATCAATCTAAAACTTTTAGGAAACTTAAAAACGAGAATAGAAATAAAAAAAAAAAACAACTAATAATAAATATTTTATATCATTTGAAGTTACCTATTGTCAGAAAACTAATAGAAAACTTAAAAAAATTCAAATTTTTTAAAATAATATTTTTTAAACTTAATTCCTATCATGTCAATTAGTGCTCTATTCGAGGCGATTACAAAATTTACTGTAAATTAAAATAGTTAATTTATTAAATACCCATTAAATATGCATGTTATATGCATTTATGAACAAATACGCAATAACCCTCGAAATATGCAAAACATACAATATAAAATTTGGTGTTTAAATTCGGTGAGATATGAATCGTGGACATTTCAAACCTCCATAGACGTGCATACACTTAGTACAAACATGCAAATGCATATAAATCCTAGCTCTACTTATTTGGTTTAAGGTCCTGGGTTTGATATATCCATTGATATTCGCGTGTACATGCAGTCCGTTTCTTAAATAATAAAATGTACGAATAGCCGTGTATTTAATTACACATGTTTATAAAGTTCGTTTACACGTGTATTTAAAGTTCATACACCCGTGTACTACAATTATCCGCGTGTTCAAGGTCCAGACGTTTTTATTTTTAAGAATAAATAATATGACCGTGTAATTCTGACATGTATTATATAAAATGTTGACGATTTTTCGTCGTTATATTGGATTATTGTCGCCTTGTTATCACTCGATGATTGCCAAATATGCCACATAAGTGAACCCGTTGCGGCATAAAAGTCAAAATCTTCAATTAATACTTAAGGTTTTAATTGATCACCATTTGATCTTGAAGTAGCTTGAGCAAGTAGGATGAATTGTAAATAACAAATATTAAATTATAAAGATAACAACATTATTTGCCAAATGCTTAAATAACAAAAATGCGAATTATTTTTAAATTATTTTATTTCATTTGTTCATTATCATATAACATTATTTTTATGTATGTAATTAAATTATCAATATAGTATAATTATTTTATTTATTTATAAGATGAGTAATAAGTGTAAAATTGACTTGTGGTAGCAAGAGTACACCTTACTGCCCCTGTGCGCACGCCTATGATTATATTCTTTTAACGATAAATTGTATACTTTTTTATAAAAAATACTTCAATTATGATGTATTTAAATTGCATACGTTTCAACACGGTTTTCTTAAAAACACATACGCTTGTGTTTAAATGCAACACTAATTTAATTAGACATAACTAAATAATTTTTTTAGGATTGCATCTAAATCACTATTCTGTGTGTCAAATCAGTCTCTATATGATTTGGTAACCTTATTTCCATACTGTCCAAACTATGCAACAGATTGTGATTAAAATATTAAGTAATAATAATAAAAAAACAGATTCCATCAAATTGCATTATAATTGTTTGTATTTTAATATATTAGCAATTCTTGGCATCTGGCGTCTTCAGAAACGCGGAGTTTCGAGTTGCAACATAAAAAATGTATAAAAATTGTAAACGTTAGGACCCTATAGGGATGTCGTCCATTTCCAAAACTATATAGTCATCATGATAAAAACTATAATAGTAGAAGAAGAAATACGGAAATTCGTAATAATGTTAATCAATGTATTTTTATAAACGTTTTGATAAAAGTATACAATCGTAAATTAAAAAATAAAAATAGGTCAATAACCAAAGATTCCTTATAGATTTTTTTTCACTTATGCCCTATGGATAGTATTTTACGGAAGTAAAATATCGTACAGTATTGAAATCAATACATGTTATTTTTAGGTGTAAACTCCATACCCTCGTCCAGAATATTTTACTGAAGGTACATCGATTTCAAATGTATACAAACATTTCAGTATTGTAAAAATTTAATGATCATCCGTTCTTGTACATCACCTGTAACTCGTTGCCATTTTTTTAACATGTATAGTCATATGCAATAATTATTTACGCTAATGTTATAAAACTACGAGTATCTGTCAAAATATTCAATGCTTAATATGTGATGTAATAATAGAACTAATAACAGTTGTCAACGTTTTTTTTAATTGTAATACATTACACTTAAATGATTAGTTTTTTACATCAGTTGTTATTTGTGAAAAAGTCGACACATTTTCAGTTAAACAAAATATTATGTAAAGATTAAAGAATAAAATATTAAAAAAAAAAATAATAATAATAATAAATATAATAATATTCCAGGCTAAGCATTTATTTATTTCTATGTATTAACTATTTGTTTATTTATTTATATATAAATTAAAGACTAAATAATTATTTCTCGAGAGTTTTAGCGACTAGCCAACGCACTAATGTTAAACACAGTATAGCCAACATTTATTTTGAGCTATTGAAATAATTTATAATTGTATAATTTAATAACTACCCACATCTCATACACATATTTTACTTAAGCGCTGAGTAGTTGTATTCGAACCAAAACTGTCCATTTGTTCGACGAAAGAGATTATTATTTTGACGTATATAATTACGTAGGTATACCCATTTTCATAAATATAAATAAATACCTACAAATTTAAATATTAATACTAAATAAAATAAAATACTATTAAATCGATGAAATAAACGAAATAGAATTTGTCAGAAGATAATTTACCAACTAACGTGTGCATGAGAATACAGTGATAAGCGTTTTATTGACAAACCATGTCGGGTTGTTACATATCAATTGCTTCATTTTCGACCTCCAGAATGTTCAGAATATTCACATAATAGCCAATTAACGAACAACTATATAATGATTGTTATAATATAGCTTTTGAGTATATAACTTTAATGGAAATTAAATATGATTAATGTACAGTGTACAATAATAATACTGATTTTTAATGATATACGTATCTACCTACGGAAATGTACGCAGAGACCTACGACGAATGGAAGTTTGAATTGTTTTTCAAACAAAAATGATTATATTTATATAAATGTGTGTTTTTTTCTCGTAATGATAATTAAACTGTTGAATACAATAATTGCCGGCTGATTATTTTTTATTAGTTATTTGCAGTGCCGCGCACACGGGCTCCAAGGCTTACATACATTTGGGGGGCCCCCTAGTCCCAGCCTAAAATAAACTACACTTTACAAATATACAATTATTTAATAATATTATATTATTATTTTATAATAAAAAGAAACTTTTTTTAAAATTCAGGTAAGGATGTTATAATATTTTAGAGTAATATAATATTTATTTAACAATAAGTCCATCAAGTATTTCAGTAGGCATATAACATACCTATCTAAACTACTTAAATAAATTTATTACATAAATATATAGTGAAGTGTAATATACAACAGTTGTAGGTATTTAATTTGGTATTTAATTAAATATATAATATATATATATATATCATACACTAACTGATGTGAAACGTGTTTTAAAACGTAAAAAAATTGTTACTTTTAAATAAGACATACAACAAAAATAAATCCTAGGAAGGGGCCTAATATAATTATCGCACACGGGCCTCCTATTTTGTAGTTATGGCACTGATCATTTGGTATTTATTTTACTAATTTTTTTAAATTATAATATATACCTAATAATTATAATACTAAGCACGATTGTACATTAATCTTTGGATCTTTCATGAAATTACAAAGTTTACGCATATTATTGTCTGCGTTGATAATGTGTAAATAATCATTAGTCGGCCTCGGTCGTCAACAGAAATTAAATGTATAACTATTTTCAAATGCCCAGTTGTATTATTACGATTTTTAAATATAAACCAATATAAAGTGATTCGTTATCACATATTCAAACATTTTATCGTAACACTATTCGTCTTTGCCTGCATACGACAATTTGATGT